GAAATGGCTCAGTGAGATATATCACTTGCATATAACATTTTCAACAAATTCTGAATCCAAGATAGCTATATGTGGGGACCTTACATTGTTTAGTATATGAGCATATTATAGATGCTCAAAAAAATTTTTAAATGTTTTAAAAACTTACATTTTCAAAATTAACATCCATGAAGTCTTCATCTTTTTTCATTAAATGGTTACTGATGCTGTTTGAGTGGTCATAAATGAATTGCCATCTTTTGTATTCAATGGAAACAACAAAATTCACCTACCTATAAGTCACAAAGACAGCTGTATAATAGTTTACATTACAATGAATGTGTACATACCTCAAAACACATTTTTAAAAAAAGAAAACTTGGCTTGGAAAATAATCCCAAATGCGTAAGGTGACAAAACTTCTGGGTCAACTAGTCCATCTTCCCTTCACACACAATTATTCATTAATATAGATTCTCTGGCTGAATTTCTTCCAAGTTTCAAGGACTTCAGTAGAGAATCTAAATCCTCAAATGTTAACACTTTTACTTTTTGTCCAGAAGTGTGAAAAAGGAGAGTTAACTTCAACATTAAGTTGTTCTCTATATCGGAAACCCTATCTCAGGTGCTACTGGTGTTGTTGAATGCCATTGAGTAGGTTCTGATGACTCACTGCGACCCTGTAAAAGGCTTCAAGGAGCAGTTCCTGGTAAGCAGTCCAATGCTTATCCTACAGTGCTATATAGCCACTAGATTTGACTATTTTATTTCTTATTTCTCTACAGACTTAAGTCATCGAAAAAAAAACAACCTAGTTTTTAAATGATTTATAGTAAGGAAGGTGTCTTGGTGGCACAGTGGTTAAAACATACATCTGCTAACCAAAAGGTCAGCAGTTTGAACCCACCAGCTACTCCTTAGGAAAAAGCTGTGGCACTCTGCCTCCTTCAAGGTTTACAATTTTGGAAACCCTAGAGGCAGCCCTAGTCCACCCTACAGGGTGCTGTGAGTTGGAATCAATTCAACGGCAGTGGATTTGGTTTTGTTGGTCTAGTACAGAAAACACAGGAAACTTCAAATCACAGTAACTCATCATTTTAGAAAAAAATGATTGATTCTGATAGTTTTACAATACAAATAGTCCATTTTCTATTAAAAAAAAAAAAAAAAAAAAAAACTTCAGTCAATTGAGTAAAGTACATGTGATTTAGGTTAAAAAAAGAAACTTTTAAGTAATTCACCCAAGTCAATACTTTTCTAAATGCATTATAATTTAGAATATTTTGCATGCGAGTACAAAAGTGTTTTGAATATTAAATTGAAATTTACCATAATTTGAAGAGTAAAAAAAAAAATATATCAAAGCTTCAGTCTACATGGCTTTAATGTAAAATCATTCTATGGAAATCCCAACAGAAATTAGAAATGTGTTATAAGGATTGCTAGTTGCCATGTTTGTCTGAGTCTTTCAGACTACACAGTTTTCAGAGATTCAACAGGCACCAGATATGAATCTAGTGAGGTCATTTTCTCTACAAATTGTCACTTTCCCATCACTCAAAAAAAAAAAAAAACAGCCAATTCTGAAACGCCAGCATAACAGCATGAATAGTCTCATACCTCATACCTTTAAGGGATAATGTTCACAACATCTAAGTAAGAAATTACAATGACTGTGATCTACATGTATTTTTAAATAGGCAACTTGGTAAACACAGAGTACAAAGCATTGAACATGGTACCTGGTTTTTTAACCACTATTTGTCACCACTGTCAAGCTCCTTTTTTGTTTTTGTTTTTTCCAAATTAAATTTCTCATCAAAAGTCTAATGTCATTCCATTAGATTTATGAATATCTAATGGTAATTAAAGCAACATAAATAAATGTCTGCTACATTGAGCCAAGTTACTGCAACTATGATTAGCTGAATAATTTATGCCATTTCCCAAGTGATTTGGGTGTTCTGGGGAGTCCAAATAGACTCTCTATGCCCTATCGAAGCTCACAGGTGATGTCCAATACTCCTGCCCACTTTGTAGACCACCAAGAATTTTTCGTGGAGGAGAAGAGATCCAAGTGTGCCTATGCCAACTCATCTGAGTTATGCCATCCAGTTGACATACAATTAATTTCCTACTTAGCCTTAACTTAGTACTAAAAGTAGAACATGTTCATGAATCAGTTTCCAACTTTAGAGGTCAGTCCTCTCTAGAAAGAGGTCCATTTATTCTCTATGCCCATTAAATTCCCAAGCTTTCAAATAATGAAAAGTGTGCCTTGCAGAACTGCATGAGTATAGAAGTGGGAGGGGGAAGGGAACAACGTGCCTAATACAAGACAGTAGAATAACTCAACTCAAAGTTTTAAAGGATAAAATTCATAGCACTTGAGTGGCATGACAAAATGAGCAGGTTTCAATGACTCCTGGAGTTTGCAGATTTCACAAGAAAAATCAGAACTGGCGCATGTTGTCTCGAGTTGCCATCTGTCAGTGATTTAGATCTGTCTCAAGATGTTCTTAAGTCTGTAGGGTTTGTGTTTTGTTTTTCAGCAATATAACATAATGTCAGACAGAGTGGAGAAAACTCTATGATCCTTATTTTTGGCCATGGAGTAACATTCCTAAACCCTGCCAGACTTGAAACAAAGACAAATTCTGATGCATTACATGTCTGAAAACAAACACATAAACAAATACAACTTCCTGGGTTTCTGCTTCCATTTCCCTTAGTTTTATAGTCTTTGTATCTACAGCTAACTTTACTTTTCTAAATCTGTAACTGTTAATAAACTCTCAAGTCTTTCATTCCCAATTCAAAAAACAGTAATAATAAATGGATTAAAAAACACAGGTACCCTGCTTTTAAGGAGACAATCAACATATTATTTGCATACAACTAATACCCAAGCAAAAACTATGGAGCAAACTCAGTTTTACAATTATGTATTTTTTCCTAACTCATTTCCTCCAGACATGGATATAAGACACTCATCAAAACATGTTGTTTCATTATATACACTATCTGATGTACGTTATTGGGGTTAATATAGAGAATTTTATAGCATTAGTAAATGAATTAAAAAACTAAATGATTCGTGTAAAATGTTTATATATGGTATATACAGATTGGATCATTTGAGTCTAAGAATAAAACTGTTCCAATTCTTAACATCTGTTAATGGACATAGTAAGATACAGTACAAGATCCATTTGTAAAAAGAAGGAAAAATAGCGCTAATTTAAACACTGAAAACGGCTCTTACAAAATCTTTAAAAACATACTTTAGAGAAAGATGTTGAAACAAACAAACAAAAAAATAGAAAGGCTTCTCATTATCACAGAATATCCAAGGGACGCCTCACAGCATGAAAGACAAGGATTCATTTGCCTTCACTTAGGGTGTAGATAGGATATGCAGAGGGAAGTTATTCTGTATTAAAGGCATAAGGCAACCAGGTCTCCTTCTGTTACTGTTGCATTTACCTAAAACACCATTTTATTGCTCAGCTCACTTAGGTACTTCTTTGCCTTCATTTAAAAATAATTTCATTTTACAGCTATCTACAGATGGGCAGCCCTTGTAGCTTAACTTCTCTGCAGCTCTGTCCCTCAAATATAACTTCAAATAACTCATTGAACGAAGAGTGCAAAGTGGCTTTTCAAGGTTTTCAGTTTGCTCAGCCATGGAACATGTGCTGAGCTCAGGGAAAATAAGGATTTTGAGTAAATCTTAAGTCTGAGTAACCAAAATGAAACATATTTTGCTCAAGTGAATTTTTAAATCGGGATTTATATTCACAAAGAAAACAAAGTTTTGAAACTGAAGCCCCACTGGGTAACTCTTTGGTTAGGTTATCTGTAGCGTCTAACTTTAGGAATCAAGAGTTAGTTCAGGAACTAACTACCAACTAAGAGAGTAGATCTGTTATTTATCTTTATAAAATGCTTTGCATGTTTTTGTGTACTATTTGATGTTTTAAAACAAAATGGATGGTACAAACTTCCAAACTTCAAATAATAAATGAATATGTCTGCTCTTCCCTTCCCACCCTTTTTCCTCCCTCCCCACCCCCTCCCCAAGTCTTAGGAGCTAAGAATGAGCCTACCTACTGCCAATCACTGCAAGACTATGTGCTTTCCTAATACCCATGGCGTGCATTACTACCCATCTCCGTTCTATTCACTGCCAAGTGACTATGCAGTGCCTGGTGACCTGGGCAGACCTGCCCTCTTCTGCAGCAAAGCTTGCTCTCACTCTTGGCAATAACTGTCAAGACAACCAGAGTCCAACCAAGTGCTTCTTGCTTCTGGTGATGAGCCAAGGAGAAAGGGTGCGTCAACAAGCAGAAGGATCCCTTTCAGTGAATTTAAGTCACCTTTCATTCTGAACTGAAAAAATCGGATCCTTCACTGCTCCAGCACTGGATTCTTCTCCGACCTGTAACTTTTCAAAACTTTAATCATGTCGTCACGGAACTGTTTCCATAGGGTCTTAATTCCAGAACCCTAGTATTTCATTTGACCTTCTAAATATCTACCTTTAAAGAGGGTCAAAAGGACTGTGGAATGACCTTTTAAAACATTAACTTCCCCAGTGTTATCAATTCCAATCGCTTAAACCGCGAATGAGTCATAAGGGCTCAAGACGATTTCAAGGAATCTCCCCACACTGGACACGGTCCAATCAGATTCGGAACAATCCTTTCATTCCTAGGTACTTGGTGATTTTTGTGGCCACACTGCCCCATTCCGTTCAGACTGAAGGGCAATCTGGTATGTCGCAGGGAATGGAGGAAGCATGGGCAGGGAGGGGAATATGTCTGGGTTCTCTCTGTTGTAAGGGTCTAAAGAAAATTAAGAAGCCAGGAGGGTTTGCGGCTGCAGGTTCTAGAATTGGGGGTAGAGGGATTTGGCCCCAGCCTCTAGGAACGAGGGGAGTGGGGAGAGGTAGAGAGGCGGGAGGGAGGTAAGGAAGAAGATGGGGATGAGCGCTGGAGTCGCAAAGGGGGCTGGGGAGCTCACTCCCTGCAGAAGACATACTCCGTGTAGCTGGTCCAGATCTTGTCCTCACTCTGGTCGGTGCTGCTGGCGAAGGCGCAGGTGCCCGTGGAGCTGCACGCCACCATGTGGAAGCCTGACTCCGACAGCTTGTCAAAGGCCTGCTCGAGGAAGTTGAACTTGAGGTAATAACGCGAGGTGTAGCGCTCCGGGGGCCGGTCGGGGTCCCGGCTCTCGTTCAGGGTGTCACCGAACACCTCCTTGGCCAACGACGTCTTGCCGCACACCGTGATGCGGGCCACTCGCCGGAATTTGGCGTCCGCCTGCGCGTCCCGACCGATGGTATAGGAGCCGCGGTAACCGATGGTGATGTAGCCCGAGCGCCGGCTGCCGTCCAGCGACTGAGAAGGCGTGAGCAGCGGGCCCGCAGCACCCCCAGACGGGCTACGGCTAGCCAGCTCCAGCGTGGGCGATGGCGCCCCGGCCGAAGCGCCTTCCTGCTGCTCTGGCTCCGCGTAGCCGAGCTGCAGCAACTCGTCGCCCAGCGAGCCCTCTTTAGGCACCCCGCGTCGTGGGTGCGGTGGCCCCGGACACGGCTGCTGGGGTGCCCCGAGGCGCCGCACGAGCTCTGGCAGCTCGAAGTACTCGGCCTCGCGCTGCAGCCGGCTGCGCTCGGGGAAGTAGTCGGGCAGCACGAGCTGCAAGTCCCGCAGGTAATCCAGGATGTAGCGGAAAAGGAAACCGTCCCGGTCCAGAAAGAAGCGGCCTTTGCTGTCCCGAGCCAGCTCTTGAGGCTGCTGCTGTGTGAACATGCGCCAGAGCAGAGAGTCGGGCACCGAAACTACCGTGCAGCGTCGGGTCACATACACCTGGCCCCCCACGTTCAGCTCCACGATGTCTGGGAAGAGGCCCGGCTCCGCAGAGGAGGACGAAGAGCCGCTGCCGCCGCCGCCACCCCCACCCCCACCCCCATTGGGTAATCCACGTGTGCTGTCCGCCAGAGCCATGGCAAAGAGGTGGCTGGGCTGAAGCAGAGAAAGAGAGTGGGGCTGCGCGCTAAAGCCGCAGTCGCCTTTCCCGGAGTCTCGGCGCCCGGACGCTTGCTGGACGCTAGCTCAACCCTGCGATCCTGCCACCGCCACTGCAGCCGCCTAGAGCCGCGCGGAGCAGTACGAAGCGAGCGCGCGGTTGTGCGCCCCAGTGCACCAAGGTGCGCTCCGCCCGCCTCGCCCGCGCGCTCCAGGCGAGTGCTGGGTCGCGGCCGGCGCGCGGTTTAAGTAGAGCCGCCCGCTAGGGCGCCGCGGCGCGCAGGAGGCGTGGGTGGCAGTGGAGCGGCGGAGCCTCGCTCCCCAGGCAGGGGAGGGGAAGGCAGGAGGAGGGAGCAGGGAATCGATTTGCATCTTAAACGCTGACGCTGCGCCCGGCTGCTGGCTCCTCCCCGGTTCGCGCACTGCGGGGCGACACGAGCGGTCCTCTCCCTTCCCCTTTTCCCCGCACCGCCCTTAGCTCCAGCTCCTTCCAGTTCTCACCCAACTTTCTTCCTCCTCCGAAGCGGATAAAGCTAGAGATGATAGGCCGGGAGAAAAGACAAACCTTCCGTCCGAGGAGCATTCATTGAGCTGCCTATCCATGCCACCCCCCACCCCCGCACTCTGCGCCCACCTCCTGCGTTAACTCTGAAAAGAGGTTGTAAAACTTTCCGGATTCGCCCCGGGGAGTGAAATTAAGGAAAGCGTTCGGCCGGCCACCACCGGAACTGGGCTATTGAAACTGCCATTGTGTTGCTACGCGCTGGAAGTTCTCGAAAGAAAAGCCCTGGGGAGACATCAGGGTGCTCCAGCCCAGAGGCAGCCAGATTTTGTTCGAGTTGCTGAGTGGCCTAAGAAAAAAAGAAAAAAAAAACAAAAAACCTAGAAATCAAAATGTAACCTCGATATTCTGCTGCAAAACGCTCTCTGATTGTTCATTTTCACGTGCACAAATTTTTGGTTGGAAACCTCAAAATAGGAGGAAAAGAACTGCAGTAGCAACTGGGGGAGCAAAAGGCGTGCTTTCAGGGTGAGTTCCCATGGGAAGCGATCAAGTAGCCTCTTTCCCACTAAATCTTGATGGCTTGTCTGGAAAGATGAGCGATAGTGAGCTTCAAGGATCATTTGCAGCCTTGAGTGAATCATGCCAGAAAACTCTTTTGAGGGTTTGTAGATATAACGTAATTTACCAAAATTGCCCTTTCAGTCCCTCGTTTGACACATTTATCCTCTTAAAGATTCAAACATCTGTCTCTGCCTTCCGGAAAACCCTCCGTCATTCCATCTGGCCCAGGTTCCCTTGTCACAGGCCTTTGACATTTGCGAGGCCTCCTCTTTAATCCTGTCTCCCCTGACATCCCAGTCCAGTGGGACCTGTGGGTTGCCTAGGTTGGTGATTGTGTGCCACTGAATGTATGCTTAACTCTCAGCGACCCTGTATAGGGTTTTCCAGGTTGTAAATCTTTAAGGAGTAGAAAGCCGCCTCTTTCTCTGCCTGGGTGACTAGTAGATTCGAACTACTGAACGTGTGGCTCAGCTCATAATCCACTAGCTACCAGGAACCTCTCTGGATTGTCTAGAGCCACTCATTCGGAGCTTTAATAGTGTTGTTAAGTGTCATGGGGTCATTTCCCACTCAGCGACCCCTGCACAGGAAACACTGCCTGGTCCAGAGTCATCCCACAATTGTGTTGGCGCCCATTGTTGCCGTCACTGTGCCAATCTATCTCTCTGGAGGTCTTCGTCTTTTTTTTCTGACCCTCCACGTTTCCAGGCATGATGTCCTTCTCCAGGGACTGGTCCCTACTAACAACGTGTCCAAAGTATGAGAGACAAAGTCTCATCATCCTAGCTTCTAAGGAACATTCTGGCTGCACTTCTTCCCTGTATCTTTGTTCTTTGGGCAATCCATGGTTCTTTTACTATTCTTCTCCAACACCATAATTCAAATGCATTCAATCTTCTTGAATTGTGTCCTCACAAAATATATGTGGTAAATCCTCTCTCCTGTACCTACTATTGAAAAGAGTCCAGGTGATGTAGTGGGTTACAAGTTTGGATGCTAGCAGAAAGGTCAGCACACAACCTCTGAAATCCTACAGTGGGTCACTTGGGTTGGATTTGGGTTTCGTTTATACTTCTGATTATGATCCATTTGGGAAAGGATAGTCTTTCTTATGTTACTGAGGTAGTATTAATGTATGGTGTGTCTTAAACACTTGTTATATACAATAGCGAATTAAACAAGCAAAGAACCATAAGAAAGGTGGTAAAGAAAAGTAGAAATAGAAGCTGAGAAGAGTCAAGGACCTTACCCCAAAGCAGACAGAATGAGAGCCTTCCCCTAACCCTAAATTCAGACTTCTAGCCTTCTAAACTGTAAAGAGAGGAGTGTGGTGGGTCCATACAATAAGCACTGGACTGCAAACCACAACGTCCATGGTTCAAGCCTACCAGTCACTCCACAGGAGAAAGATGAGGCTTTTTGCTCCTGTGAAGATTCAAAGCCTTGGAAACCGTATACAGACTCACTATGAGCCAGAACTGGCATTTAATAACAACGAACTGTGAGAAAAATTAATTTGTTAAAGTCTATTTGTAGTTTACAGTAAGTAGTACAATACGACTAAGACCCATACCCATTGCTTCAAGTCCATTCAGAATCATAGAGCTCCCGTAGCGCTGTATAGAGATATCCCTACAGGCTTTCTAAAGCTGTTATCCTTATGGAAGCTGACTGCCACATTTTTCTCCCGCAGAGTGGTTTGTGGAGTTGAACCTGGGAATTTATAGTTAGCAGCCCAACTCTTAAGCACTATGCTACTAGGGGTCCTTGATAACCAAAGAGCGATACTCTTAATGACTTTAGTGAAAATACATGCTCCTGCGTGCAGCAGAGAAAAGGCAGGGATAGAGTAGTGCAGGATTTTAAGAAATCATCTGATCAATGAAAATGTTGTGCACCTGATATATTGGCCAGGTGTGGCACCAGGTATTGAAGAATTAAAAGTTGAACAAGCTTGGTGTACCCAGTAGGCAAAGGGTCAAGGTTTTGAGCAGTTTTTCAGATCAGCTTGAAGTCCAAGCTGTCACTCAGTATAAAACCATCCAGATCTTTGTTCTTGATAATAATATTTCCCCTATTGTGAAACTACCCAAGGAGTTTTACAGTCTCCTCACGGAGAAGTGTCATTTTTACTTGGAAATGTTTATGTCTGCTGCACAATTACTGCCCTCATGTCAGTGAGCTCAAAAAAGATCAAGCCCCAAATCAGCTGGCCTAATTGCAAGTACAGTTTCGGATCCTGAATATATTTCACCACTCTTTTTTGTTTTGTTCTTTGGGATAAATAATAGATGATGCTGAAGTTCTAAATTCCAGTGCTGAATTTCTAGGTGGCTGGGCTACTCCTTCCTCTTTGTTAAATCAGTGTCGCAGGCCTGCCCAAACCATTTTCTTTTCTGTCAGTCCAAGAAAGGCTTTCTTCCTATTAACTCTGCACTTATTTCTGTACTAATCCTTTTATTTTTGTCTCAGCAAATCCTGTCAGGTCTACCTTCAGAATATTTCCATCTAAGCCCATCTCTCCATCTTCCTGCGGTTCTACCAATATGTACTATTTTACCAGTAGGTTCCTAACAGTCCCACTGTGGACCAACTCAGCATCATCTCTGGCCTGGATTTTTATACCCATCTCCTGCTTGCTTCTTCTACCTGTGCCACAACAGGCTAGTCTCACCAAAACTAGCAAAAAGGATGCTATTCCAACCTAACTCAGATGATATCACTCTGCTCCAAAATACCCCCTACACACACACAAACACACACATACCACCAGCATCTGCCCGTTTCATGCAAGTGTTTGATAGCCAAAGATCTTTCAATGACCTTCAAAGACTGTAATCAGAGCTGCCCCATGACCACCTCTCTGACCCATCTCCTACCACGACCCCAAGATTTCACTGGTTTTAGCCACATCAGTCCCTTGACAATCCTCTAGAGGTAACAGATATGGTTAAGCACTGCAGTACTAGTCAAAAGTTTGGTGGACCAAACCCACCCAAATGTGCCTCAGAAGACAGGCCTGCTTCCAAAAGTCACAGCCTTGAAACCCCTGTGGAGCAGTTCTACTCTACACACACATGGGATCATCATGAGTCAATGACAACTGACAATTGTCCTCTAGGAGCCTTGAACATGCTGTTCCCTTTGCCTAACACACTCAGCCTCTGATAACTCGGTCACCTGTTCAAGTGTCCCTCTTCTCCCCTTCCTCAGAGCCCTACTGTGAGACCTTCCTTTGATCGCCCTATTTAATGTACTTGTAGTACAACCCTGTGGTGGCTCCATAGGTCTTTGAGCCACAAGGTCAGTGGTTCGAGCCCACCAGCCGCTCCATAGGAGAAAGATGAGGGTTTCTGTTCCAGTAAAAGATGTAAAGCCTTGGAAATGCTATACAGGGTCACTATGAGTCAAAACTGACTCCACAGCACTTAACAACAACACAACCCTACTAGGCTTTCCTGTTTCTGTACTGGAGATTTTTATTCACTTGTTTAATGTCTGCTTCTCTGCATTAGGGTATAAAATCCAGGATTTCAGAGATTGTTTTCCTGCTTAATTCCCTGCTGCTTCCCCAGTCCTAGAAGAGAGCTTACATATAATCGACATTGAATGAATATCTGCTGTGTGCTACAACACTAACCTAAAGGTTGATGGTTCGAATCTACCTAGCAACACCATGGAAGAACTCTATCTTCATAAATATTGCAGCCTGGAAAATGCTATAAAGGGGTTCTACTCTGTAGCAGGTGTCCTGGTGTGGCACTGTAGGAGGATGCACTGGACCGCAAGGTCAGTTTGAACCACAAGCTCAGTGGCTCATCGCTATGAGTTGGAACTGACTCGATGTCACTTCACAACAACAAATCCGTAACACATAAGTACACCAAAGTCAAAATTCACCTCTATGTGTGCC